TCATCGATGACTCAGTCAAGTTGACGACAGCTATAATACCAGGCGTGACACAGAGCGAAACCCTTAACAATTGTTTTCCAAAAAAAAACTTTAATTTCAAAGCAACATATTTTGTTATTTTGGATGGAAACTATTCTGGAACGTTAAATACCAATTTGAAAACGGAAAATTATCTTTGACCTGCATTTGATAGAAGGTTGTAATAGTGCAATTAAAGGTTACAAAAAATGTTTTAAGTATCACTTAGAACCAAGGTGTTCATATTATCATCTCACACTATACATTGCTTTACAATTTTTAGTAATTTTTTTTAAAATAATAGATAATTGCCACACATATAATGTTGTTAAACTAATGGAAACAATCCACTTTATCAATATTTTGTCCAATCCGGAATTTCGAAAAGACAGTCGACTAAGCTAACTTCCTGTTTGGGTCAAGTGTCGGAAAAACAAAGATCGTCAAAAATAAGCTGAGGGAGGGAAAAGTTTATAAAGTGAAAATTTAAAATTTTAATAGGTTATGATTTTTTTTTAAAAAAAACTTGTGTTGTCAAATTGAACATTTTTACCTAACTTGTTACTCGGATAATCTTTCGACTGATTAACCGGTTAACCAGTATGAAAGTTAATGTTCAAAGAAAATGTATCTTAAGGGTATCTGGGCTAAAGAAATACGGTCAAATTTGGTCTTCTTCCAACCTGCAGATAAAACACTTGCAAAAGTTAGGCGTCCTTTTGGCTGTGTTGGTTGTATAAATTCGCAGCAATGTCAAGTATGAATAGCGACATTAATTCCGTTGCCTTGTGTAGATAAAGAGTCGCACTCTACGTACGTAAATAACCCTTGCAGCAACTCTTTGAGGTGTCCGTAGTTGGCCTGTTGCAAAGCTTACTTTCTGTCCCTATCAAATATATCCTCATTTTTCAGTAGCATTCCAAATGTTCAACCCTGCATGCCGGTCAATCCCTATTGCAAGATTTGCATTTTTAATTAATTATTAATTTTTTTCTCATACTGAACATGCATGAAATATTCTCAACTGGACGTTTCGCAAACAACAATCAATCAATTAACAAAGCAAACAAATGTTTGCAGGAATTGATCAGAGTGTATGGTTATATAATATGATGTATTACTTATGATTTATCGTCACACTTTTTCCTTAAAAGTTCTGAACGACCAGTATTCACTAAGTTTGCTTTTGACAATTTTTTATTCAGCATTTCGTTTGAAATATGATCAAGCTTTGGTTGTGGATGATTTGCATTTTACATTTACGTTCACTCAATATTAAGTTAAAATGAAATGAACAACTAAATCGTAGCATTTGATCAGCTTACAACTGTTCATTGTATGTTTTTACACACCTTTACAAATTATGTTTACTTAAGATTTTGTCCTAAGCTGTTACTAGACAAACTGTTTTGATGGTAATCAATTTACGTAAACTTGGATGTATTCATTTTAAGTTCAGTCAAAATTGACAGGATACTTGATCTCATTAAGCATGTGAAGTACAACGATGATCGTGTTAAAATATTAGTAAAGATATCAATATACATTTATATCAAAAATATTAAAACTGAAAAGGGTCCGATTAATCGGTTAATGATTTTGGTATTCGATATTCGGTTCACAACACTAAATAAACAAATTTACGTAAAAAAGTACTTTGTGTGAAGTGTTTACGATGGTTTTAACGTTTTCTATAAAGTTTTGTGCACAATGCATTTTTAAACGGGCCTAGGGCCTCAAAAATGGATCAACACTAAATATTTCTTGAGACAGAATTTTTTTATATTTTGTGTAAATGCAGTTGATAAAATACTCTTTTGAAAAAAACAATAAAAAATAGGGGTCACCGTGCTTGTTTGGTCAGTACCCTTATCCAAAGTATTGTGTATTTTCGAGGTTTTTTACATAGATATTACAGGGAAATCGGCATTTGTAAATTTTCCCTAGTTCAGAAAAAAAATCCATGAGACAGATTTTTCTTATTTTCTCTAGAATTGCAGCAAAGATATAGATAAAAAAAAAAATAATAAAAAAACATAGGGTCACCGTGCATTTTAAAGAAATATTTCATCATTTGCTTGAATATTTTCGGATTTTCAGGAAGGGGAGATAACTGTATCCAGATTTCCCGGGAAAAGATTAATATAAATACTCATTACTAATAGAACTAAATTAGGTAAATTCTAGGTCCTTATTATTATTTGAAACACTTTTGTGTTACAGATTTCTACTACAAAAATCCATGATAACCAATGATATCTCCATAGCAACCAAATAAATCAATTTATGCACTTGGAAATTAGAACATAGAGAAACATGTAAATTTGAGCATATTTATGTAGTACAAATTATAAGTCTTTATTGCTTAAATTGATTTCACAATCTGTTATTCTCTGCAAAATTATATTAAAGGAATGCCCCATAAGTTATTTTGAGATATCTGGACCAAAATTTGGGTAAAATCCAATTTTTTTAACACAAAATCACAAATTTTGAGAAACTGATTTTTGTACTTGAATTTCAACCAAATTTATATACAATTTAGAAAATGTTATCAAAACTTGGTTTTATACACCAACAATTATTTTGATCTTGTAGATTCTTCTTCTCGGTTTAAAAAAAAATCACAAATTTTGAACAATGACATACAGGTAGGGGTAGGCATTCAAAATCATATCCAGATGTCAAAAAGTTTCAATATGTTGTAAAAACTAACTTTCTGATCCCGTAAAGTGGAGTTGCTCTAGAGGCATGCATGCAGTGGAAGATCCAGAAGTAGGGGTCTGCACTGGTCATGCTTCAGTGATTACCTACATATAAATCAACCAACCCCCCTTTTTTTCTGCGTGCATCAATCTCTTCGTGTGTCTCATAAAAATGTGCAAGTGGTTTTCTAGTTGTCATCTTTTTACCTTGTTTTCATGTCAGTTTTCGTTATCATGTATTTTGAGGGAAAATGCTAATTTTGATGTACAATATGTGGATTTTGAGGATTATTATCTCTTTTTGCACAATTGACCAAAACATATTTTGAGTACTAGTCACCAACTTACCGTTTTTACCATGTTACAGATTTTAGTACAAGCCATTTTGCTAATGATAAATGCCATAAGGTGACCTATAGTAGCTGACTTCTACGCCTGAATAGTTGTCTCATTGTCAAAGATATCACACGTTCTTATTTTTACAATACAAATTTAATTAATGTATACATTTAAACATTTTCACAAAAGAAAGCAAACAAAGACTTATGGCTGACCATGTGGTATGGGCTTTGCTTATTGTTGAAGACTTGATGGTTACCAATAGCTGTTTCTGCGTCATTTGTTCTCTAAAGGAGAGTTGTTACATTGGCAATCGAACCACATCTTTTTATTTTGCTGAACACACATTCTTTTTACAGGTTGATCAATAATTTGAAAGGGTCCTCTATATGTCAATCAGTAAACTGCAGCTTCTACTAGACACATAAATTGAAATTCATTATTTGAGTAAAAAAGAGATCAAAAGGTTAAAATTAAAATTTGTTTGCTAGAAAGAAAGATGTCAAATGGCTTTGTTGACTTTTATTCCCTATCCTTTGCATCCATGCCAAATTTAAAACAAATTGAAGAAAACACATGAGCTCAATCTGATGAAAGGGATCTGTATTATGTATCCAAGACATATATAATATTGCACTTATTCTGTTGCACAATATACAGAAAGAAATACAAGCATGAACTATAAGCAATTTTTATTAATTAATAGACTGGTAATTTAGTCCATTATGTATCATATTGTAAATATATATATATATATATATATATATGAATATATAATGTTTGAATCCAAATTAACATTTGCAATTTTCATTATCTGTCACGTAATTTTTTTTATCACAGTTGTTACAAACACTTATTGTATTACATATTGAAAACTAAAATGTCAGTAGGAACAGTAAAATTTAAAAACCATCAGTCAAGATAAATCTGATAAAACTTGTTAATGAAAAGAAAAATATTTGCAACCTGTATAAAATTTAAACCACATCAACTCTTATTGATCTTTGCATAGTGTTTTAATTCTTTATTTGATAAAATGATAAAAGGCAAAATAAATTCCAGCACATATTAACAGACATATATGCAAGAACAGTACTTCATCATAACCCTTCATGTACAAGCTTGGTCAAATAACAAACCAGATACTCACATGAACATGTATTTTCTCATATAATTTTTCTATAAATTTTCTTTAAAACATTTTTTTATAACAAATCATTCTCACAAGTCATTATTTAATAGTATCATTCTGAAAAAATATCTATTTTACAAATTTCGTTAATAATCATGTTAATTTTGGATAAAATTTTACCAACAAGTGTCGTAACAAGATGGAATATTCCATTTTTAATTAATTGAAATTTGCCTCCTAAATTAAGATATGAAATGTGAACAGAAGACAAGAATTACCACAAACTGATGGCAACAGCTCACAAATCCTTAAATAAGTAGTGATATTATACAATGACAGTACAAATTATAAACATGTTATAAACTATATATCAGGTAGATATAAGTTTAAGTGGTCTTTTTCAAGTCTAACAAATTACATTCACTAATATGGATCACACAACATATGTGTGGTACACAATATGACCATTCTTACTGTGGTAAAACAAAATGTCATCTTTGACTTTAAATCCTTCATACAATTAAAGAACTATAGACAACATTATAAAATTTTATAAAAAATTTTACTACTAAAATTCTATTTCCTGACATTCAGCATGGACGGATCAATCAAATTGCTAAAAAAATAAGGTATGCGTAGAAGACTACAGGACCAGTCAAAATTTTCTAATCTCTTATCCAAAAATTTAGCTCACAAACAAATATTAACTTTAACATTTATGGTGCAATGTAGTATTTAAATCTTTATATTATATATATTGACCTGATTCTCCATAAGGTCAAAGATTTAGCATCCTAAGAAATAGGTTTCTTTAATAATAACAATTATTGCTAATTGATATAATAGAAGCTTGGTCACAGAAGCAAGTATGTCTGTAGATTAAAATTTCTGTTAATCTCTAGTAGCATTCACCATAATTGTTACATTTAAATTCTACAATGTATATATAATCAGATTCATATGGAATCTAAAACAATTTACTCTTCATTTCATATAACAAAAAAATCATACACCTTCTGAATGATAGATTTTGATGTTGTAACACGTACTACACCTGAACTATTTTTTTGAGACAAAAGTGCCCTCAGTCCATCAATACCATTTCTTTGAATTGACAAAATAAAATGCTTCTTGCACAACCCAGTTGAAGCTGCCTTTTTGGCTAATTGTTTTGACATTACTTTATTTTCAACAAGAGCTTTGAAAGATAAGTCATTTTGGCAATATTTTGGGTACATTCCATCAAATGTATACTTACAGAAATGAGAAGCTAAATTTCCATGTGATCGCACCAGTTTAAATAAAGATTTACAGTCATACAAAGCATTATGTGCATCATAACTTTCCCCTAAAAAATCTGACACTAAATCACACTGCTTGTAACTTTGACGACCTGGATATTCACTCCTAAACAATATTCTTGTGTCAATGAACCCATTAAAATACAGGCAAAATTCATCCCACATCTTCAATTTATTCAATTGATTATACAGTATATGGCAGTCAAACGTTTTTATATTGTGTCCAACAAGTGTTGGTTTAGAAGGAAACTTGGACAAAAAAGCAATAAGATTAGTAAAGACTTCAAATGGTGGTGAACTTTCCACAGGAACTTCATCATAGTACATTTGCCCATCAAAGAATGCAAGTTTTGTTATATCAGATGCCTGTGGTGTTATCTTCTTTGATGGCATAACATAGGCTGAGAAAGTTTCATTCTCAGTTAAAGCTGCTATCTGTACAATATCTGACTGACGAGCTGAAATTTTTAAAATGATCTGTTAATCAAACTCAATAGATATAAGAAGATGAGGTATGAGTGAACTGTCCATCCAAGTCACAATTTATTAAAGTAAACTATTATAGATCAAAGTACGTCCTTTAATATGGACCCTTAGCTCACACCCAACTACAAGCTAATAAAATGCTCTGCTGGGGCGCAGCTTGATACGACTGCAGTGGTCGAACCCTGAAAACCAGTTGGGGCAAGTATGGACACAACATTCAAGCTTGATACAGCACTGAATTTGGATTGTAATTAAATATTTGACACAGCATAGGTTTCTGACACAGAATGAAAGTGGTCTAAGAACTTAAAAAATTTTAATTTACCTATTCAAACCATATCATTATTATTTGCTTTTATATATAAATCAGAAATAACCAATTTAAAATGGAAAATTTTAAAGAAAAAAAAGGAAAAAAAAATCCCCCCAAAATTTTTTGAACCCCCTTATGATTCATCACCCCCAAACTCAATCCCAGCCTTCCCTTTGTGGTATGGTACCTTGCAGTACAATTTCAGAGAGATCCATACACTTGAACACAAGTTATTGTCTGGAAACTAGAAAAATGCTTGTTTTTGGCCCCTTTTTGGCCCCAAATTCCTAAACGTTTAGGGCAATTACCCCCAAACTCAAACCCAGCTTTCCCTTTGTGATATGGAACCTTGCAGTACAATTTCATAAAGATCCATACACTTACACACAAGTTATTGTCCTGAAAGTAGAAAAATGCTTGTTTTTGGCCCTTTTATGGCCCCTAATTCCTAAAATTTTGAGGGAATTACCCCTAAAATCAATCCCAGCCTTCCTTTTGTGGTATGGTACCTTGCAGTACAATTTCAGAGAGATCCATACACCTGAACACAAGTTATTGTCTGGAAACTAGAAAAATGCTTATTTTTGGCCCCTTTTTGGCCCCTTATTCCTAAACATTTTGGGCAATTACCCCCAAACTCAATTCCAGCTTCGGAACATCAGGTAAATGAATTTATTCTTAAATTTATGAGATAAAAGGGTTAATTTTTCAAAAAATAAAATTAACCTCTGTATTTATGTAATTGTTTTGTACATAAATCAGGTGGTTAGTTTTTTTCTGGTTTTGTCATTTTGTGGCCTTCCATACCTGACTGTGTGGTATGAGTATTGCTCATTGTCAAAGGCTATATGGTAACCTATAGTTAACCTCTTTGCCATTTAGTCTCTGGTAGAGAATTGTCTCATTTGGCAACCATACTACATCTTCTTATTTTATAATCATTAATTATGATAACTTCAAAACAGGAACAACTGAAAATGCCAAGGATGGTTCTGTATATATCAGAGTTTTATTGTTGTGTAATAGCAATGACTTAGGCACATTTAGTATTCATTGGGGAATCAATTAATAATTAGAATATTTTATTGTGAGAATATACCCAATACTATTACAAAAAAGAAGCTTTCAATTCTTGTAATTATATTATTAAGCTACCACCCAATGAGTAATATCATGATTTTGTTCTTTTCCCATGCATCATTGTGACATTGTCATGGGAAGCACACACATTTATGAATGTTGTATTTTTTTGGAGAAAAGAAAGATATTTTGGAATCATTGTGATTTTTGTTAGCCAGCAAAAGTATACATTTTTAAGAAATGTAATTTCATGTAAAAATGAAGCTGTTAACACCAATAAATTTTGATTGATTATGTCTCAGATACACATAAATTTCTCAAGGAATACATACACAAGCCTGTAGTTTCAAGATCAAATACTATAATTGGAAAGTTTTCCTCAGCTGTTATCTGTTTCCAAGTTGGAATTTCTTCTAGTTGGTCAGTTATATCATCCTCAATGTCTACAAAATAGTATTAGTTACACAGTGTGTAATTGTCCTAATACAAGAATTTATCAGGTGAATAAAATTCATATTCATTGAGGCAAAGCAAAACCCGATATGAATTTTATTCACAAAATAAATTCCATATGAGGACAATTGCACATGTGTAAAGAATTTCTCCTGATTTTGTTATATTACATATTATTATATTCATATTCAATTATTTGGACAATACCAACGAAATATATTTAGACATTTAATCTTAAATTTGAAAATAAGTATTAGGAATTTAAAACCACTAATTTTTCTTGGTTTTTTTTCATTATGTCAATGGTATAAGGGAGATAATTCCAATTTATGTAATAGAAAATTGTACTGAAATTTATTAAACCAATATCAGGTAATCAAATTGCGAGAAATTACTCTAAATCATGATAATTATTCTTGTTATTTGATTATTGCTTTACATTTGGTTTATTTTTTTTTAGTTAATTGTGCTAATGAGGATAATAGTTAAAGAAAGAGTTATTATATGTCATTTTGTAACTTGTGGAAAGTTGTCTCATTGGCAATTATAAACTGTTATATATTTGTTGCAAACGATGTTGTATTAGAATTATATTTGGCTTATAACCAGAAGCTTTGAGAAGTTTGCTAGGGCTTATTTGGATTAACTGTGACATGAATGAGAAAATTTGATTTAAAATATGTTGATAGGTAAGGCATGAGTTTCTTTTCAAAGGAAAAACTGAATGTGAAACGTGAATAAATAAAAAATTACTATGGATGCAAAATGATGGTATTACCTCACCATTGCATCCAGCAAGGTGAGCTTTAAATGAAAAGTGGCATGCTCCTGTATTGTAATTGTGTCAAACATGATATTTAATAAAATGCTCCGCAGGGAGCAGCTTGATACGACCGCAGAGGTTGAACGCTGAACAGTTGGGGCAAGTATGGACACAACATTCAAGCTTGATACAGCTTTGCATTTGGATTGTGATTAAATATTTGACACAGCATAGGTTTCTGACACAGAATGAATGTGGTCTAAGAACTTGAAAATTTTAAATTGGACATTCACCTATTATGGTCCAATATCCAAAATCTAAATACATGGTTAGATTCAGCATATCAAAGAACCCCAAGAATTCAATTTTTTATGAAATCAAACAAAGTTTAATTTTGGACCCTTTTGACCTCAATGTGGACAAAGTTGATAACGGGGCCCAAAAATCAAAAATCTAAATACATGGTTAGATTCAGCATATCAAAGAACCCCATATATTCATTTTTTATTGAAATCAAACAAAGTTTAATTTTGGGCCCCGATTTGGACCAACTTGAAAACTGGGCCCATAATCAAAAATCTAAATACATGTTTAGATTCAGCATATCAAAGAACCCTTAGAATTCAATTTTTGTTAAAATCAAACTAAGTTTAATTTTGGACCCTTTGGACCTTAATGTAGACCAATTTGAAAACGGAACCAAAAATTAAGAATCTAAATACACGGTCAGATTCGGAATATCAAAGAACCCCAATAATTCAATTTTTGATGAAATCAAACAAAGTTTAATTTTGGACCCTTTTGACCTCAATATGAACCAATTTGATAGCGGGGCCCACAAATAAAAAATCTAAATTCATGGTTAGATTCAGCATATCAAAGAACCCCATAAATTCAATTTTTGTTGAAATCAAAAAAAGTTTAATTTTGGACCCCAACTTGGACCAACTTGAAAACTGGGCCCATAATCAAAAATCTAAACACATGTTTAGATTCAGCATATCAAAGAACCCCAAGTATTCAATTTTTTATAAATCAAACTAAGTTTAATTTTGGACCCTTTGGACCTCAATGAAGACCAATTTAAAAAACGGGACTCAAATTAAAAATCTAAAAACACGGTTAGATTTGGCATATCAAAGAACCCCAATAATTCAATTTTTGATGAAATCAAACAAAGTTTAATTTTGGACCCTTTTGACCTCAATATGAACCAATTGGATAGTGGGGCCTACAAATAAAAAATCTAAATACATGGTTAGATTCAGCATATCAAAGAACCTCATATATTCAATTTTTGTTGAAATCAAACAAAGTTTAATTTTTGACCCCAATTTGGACCAACTTGAAAACTGGGCCCATAATCAAAAATCTAAATACATGGTTAGATTCAGCATATCAAAGAACGCCATATATTCAATTTTTGTTGAAATCAAACAAAGTTTAAATACTGGACCCTATCTTGGACCAACTTGAAAACTGGGCCCATAATAAAAAATCTAAACACATGTTTAGATTCAGCATATCAAAGAACCCCAAGAATTCAATTTTTGTTAAAATCAAACTAAGTTTAATATTGGACCCTTTGGACCTTAATGTAGACCAATTTAAAAAACAGGACCCAAAATTAAAAATCTAAATACACGGTTAGATTTGGAATATCAAAGAACCCCAATAATTCAATTTTAGATGAAATCAAACAAAGTTTAATTTTGGACCCTTTTGACCTCAATATGAACCAATTTGATAACGGGGTCCACAAATAAAAAATCTAAATACATGTTTAGATTCAGCATATCAAGGAACCCCATATATTAAATTTCTGTTGAAATCAAACAAAGTTTAATTTTGGACCCCAATTTGGACCAACTTGAAAACTGGGCCAAAAATCAAAAATCTAAATACATGTTTAGATTCAGCATATCAAAGAACCTCATATATTCAATTTTTGCTAAAATCAAACAAAGTTTAATTTTGGACCCTTTGGACCTTAATGTAGACCAATTTGAAAACTGGACCCAAAATTAATAAAATGCTTCGCTGGGGCGCAGCTTGATACGACGGCAGAGGTCGAACCCTGGACAGTTGGGGCAAGTATGGACACAACATTCAAGCTTGATACAGCTCTGAATTTGGATTGTTATTGAATATTTGACACAGCATAGGTTTCTGACACAGAAAGAATGTGGTCTAAGAACTTGAATTTTTTTAATTTACCTATTATGGTCCAATGTCCAAAATCAAAATACATGGTTAGATTCAGCATATCAAAGAACCCCATATATTCAATTTTTGTTAAAATCAAACAAAGTTTAATTTTGAACCCCAACTTGGACAAACTTGAAAACTGGGCCCATAATCAAAAATCTAAACACATGTTTAGATTCAGCATATCAAAGAACCCCAAGAATTCAATTTTTGCTAAAATCAAACTAAGTTTAATTTTGGACCCTTTGGACCTTAATGTAGACCAATTAAAAAAATGGGACTTAAAATTAAAAATCTAAATACACGGTTAGATTTGGAATATCAAAGAACCCCAATAATTCAATTTTTGATGAAATCAAACAAAGTTTAATTTTGGACCCTTTTGACCTCAATATGAACCAATTTGATAGCAGGGCCTACAAATAAAAAATCTGAATACATGGTTAGATTCAGCATATCAAAGAACCCCATATATTCAATTTTTGTTGAAATCAAACAAAGTTTAATTTTGGACCCCAATTTGGACCAACTTGAAAACTGGGCCAAAAATCAAAAATCTAAATACATGGTTAGATTCAGCATATCAAAGAACCTCATATATTCAATTTTTTCTAAAATCAAACAAAGTTTAATATTGGACCCTTTGGACCTTAATGTAGACCATTTTGAAAACTGGACCCAAAATTAAAAATCTAAATACACTGTTAGATTCGGCATAACAAATAAATAAATGTGATCAAAGATTTTACAAATCTAATGCGCCATACTATGCAATTAAAGATTACTTCTTGAAATTTTTCAATATTTGAAATTTGAAAAAAAAATAATATTTGAAGAATAATTATTTTTAATTTCTGAAATCTGAAATGAGAAAAAATTGACCCCCCACAATTTCTTTTTATCCCCCCCCCCCTTTTTTCCCCCAAAAAATGGTCATAATCTCAATTCAAATTTCCAATGGAGTTGGCAACCATAATTACCCATTTAAATTTACCATAGTGCTAACTTAATCTATTTTATAATAGAATTAAAAATATAGTGTCAAATCTTTCATATGGATGTTTTTTGTAAAAAAAAATAATGCAACATTTGCAGATATTTTTACTGGTCTTCCTTTATAAATATGCATTTCTTTAAACATAATTTAAAAGCAGTGTAAGGGAAGTAACCAAAACGTTGTATTTGGATTACCTCCCTTACACTGTTTTAAATTATCTTTATTGTTCATTAACCATTACTTTATACATAATTTAAAAGCAGTGTAAGGGAGATAATTTCAATGATGTATTTGATTTATCTCCCTTACACTGCTTTAAATTATGTTTTGTACTAAAGTATTTGTCCATTAACCAGGACAACCTTGTTTTTCCCCCTTTTTTGCCCCTAATTCCTAAACGGTTTGAGCCATAACCCCCCAAAGCAAATCCTAACCATCCCTTTGTGGTATGGAAACTTGTAGTATAATTTCAGAGAGATCCATACACCATTCCACAGTTATTGTCTGGAAACTAGAAAATGCTTATTTTTGGCCCCGTTTTGGCCCCTAATTCCTTAACTGTTGGTACCATAACCCCCAAAATCAATCCCAACCTTCCTTTTGTGGTATTTAACCTAATGGTCAAATTTCAAAAAGATCCATTTACTTAAACTAAAGTTAGAGTGCGAAAACCAATGTGTCTTCGGACGACGACGCCAACATCATACCAATATACGACCACAAAATTTTTTTGCGGCCGTATAAAAATGCTTATTTTTGGCCCCTAATTCCTTTACTGTTGGTACCATAACCCCCAAAATCAACCTTGTGGTAAAATTTCATAGAGATCCATTCACTTAAACTAAAGTTAGAGTGCGAAAACCAATGTGTCTTCGGACAACGCAGGACGACGCCGGACAACAACGACAACGACGACGATGACGCCAACGTCATACCAATATACGACCAACAAAATTTTTTTGCGGTCGTATAAAAACAGAAAGAAGATGCATGTACCAATATTGGTTTCATAAGTTGTTCCCTCTAGAACTTCTGCTATACCATTGCTGTTACATTTCTCCGACTTTAGCTCAATTCTTCTCCTTTTATATTTCCTCGTCTTCTGTAATTTACTGTACTTTCTTCTGATCTTATCCATGAAGGTAGCACGCTTTATGCTAAAATTGCCTGGTGAGAGCCCCATTGATTCATGAACCTGTTAAAATGCATGTCAGAAAAAATATTTAATAATTACAACAGTATACATGTGCCATTCTCAACTTTAATCTTAATATTGTACACACTCACTGACTGAAATGTTATGACTAAAATTTGAAGTCGATATATGTCTCTGTTTGTATACCTTGCCGACTCTACATAAATATTATTAAAATATTATAATATTGAGGATTCATTTATTTTGATGGGTAGCAAATTTCATGAATTTCTGAAACCTTGGGTTTACCATGTTTATGTGAATGTGATGTTGTGGTTCTGTCAAAGTCTGGATACAACTTTAGAAAAATTTAATAAAGAATTACAGATGTTGTTCTAAATAGTTCATTTAATTACCTCATGCACATATCTGTGGCCTTCATTTTTCTGTGCCACTGTTGCACTAAACCTGTAACTGAGACTGTTAGATGCAGAATAATGTTTATATTTAGGTGCTTTTGTTGCTAACATTTGGTTGAGATTTTCATTTGTTTGAGTGCTAGCAAGATTTGCAAGTTTTTCTGCTTGAATTGATAATTTTTTAATAAAAATTCTATCCAGTTCCTTCCTCAGCTCTGGATTTTGAAGTGGTTTGCCGTATGGTAACTTACTAAATTTTGCCAAAGGGTGTTCAAGGAAGACACACCACTTGGTATTACAGAAGCTATGGTCACCAAAAATATGTCCTACCATTGCTTTCAAGCCAGTTGTTACACCTTCTGTGTTTTTTTTATTTTGCGCAACCATGTATGAAAAATTCTGCATGATGTAATTGATGACCCTTTGTGACAATTCTTTTTTATTGCATATAACTGTTTTGATATGTTTTTCTTGATATGGTTTTTGTCCGATCTTTTCTTAAGTTTTATTTTAAGAACGTTTTGTGCCCTTTGAAAACCTGTAGTGTCATCATCACCAACTATTTCTTTAATATCGACACCCTTATTTATTACATCTTTTATCATATCAACCACTAAAGCTGGCTCCATGCCTTTAGATGAGCCTGTATGGTTTTTGCTGCATTTGTGCTCTTTTGGAACTATACCTTTTCTTTTGGCAACATCACAAGTCCTGCAATTTTTTGATTTTATTTTTACATTCAATACCTTCCCGGTCTTCTGTCCAATCAGTGATGCACATCCTAAAACATGCATAACATATCAAAAGATTTAATGTTGTTAGTATAGAAACATGATATATTTTGTGCATGTTATCAATAGGATAATAACAAGCATTCTGTGAGCATTTCCTGGCAATACATAGTCCCCTAACAGATTAAAATTACATTGTACTAGAACAAAATGTTAACCAGAACTATAACTTGTCATTGTGTAAACTATATAACAAATATCAAGTCATTGTATTCAAAACAGATAAACAAAAAAATTTTGAACATTTATTATCTGAGTGAATTTTTTTATGTCCAAGGACCATAACTCTGCACAAAATAATCAGCCTGGAACTTAATTCGAACTTGATATTTAACTTGTCATGATAAAACTATATACCAATTTTCAAATAAATATCTTCAAGCAAGAAGAAAAGATGAGGAAAACTGATTAAGTGAGTGAATTTCCTAAGTACAAGGACCATAACTCTCTACAAAATCATTAGACCAAACCAAAACTGAACTTGATCTGTAACTTGTCATGATAAGACTATATACCAATCATCAAATTACTATCTCAAAGCATGACTAAAAATGTGTGTAAAACTTATTATTTGAGTTGAACATCAATTGATACTTCAAAATAATATTCTTCAATTTTTTAAACATAACAAATACTAATTTATATAGTGTTAATTGTGTTACTATACCAGACAAACTATTATAGGATTTCCCGGAGCCTTTTTTTTGCCAACTGGTATCAGTGGAAACTGCAATCCCTTTGTTTTCTCCATTGTCATCAGAATCTATTGATAAAATAAAAAAAACATGTATACAAAAAATTGCACAGAATAGCAAATTGATCCCAAGTTATATACAATATTTACTTCGTACATTATGAGAAAAAATATAAATAACTTGTAGAGCTGTATAAACTGGACTAAAAGTGAGACTTGTTAAGCTTTTCCGGCTTTTGTAGAGAGTACAAATAAATTTTATATTTCAGACAATGTAAATATATATTTGTATTTTTATCAATCTGATGAGTTAAGTCTTTTTCAACTGATTTTTATACCTCGTTCTTATATTGTACTGTTACACCACTTGTTCTTATATTGTTATGTTATACCACTGTCACTGTCCCAGGTTAGGGGAGGGTTGGGATCCCGCTAACATGTTAAAACCCGCCACATTCTGTATGTATGTGCCTGTCCCATATTAGGAGCCTTACATTCAGTGGTTGTTGTTTGTTTAGGTGTTACATTTTTGTTTTTCGTTCATTTTTTTGTACATAAATTAGGCTGTTAGTTTTCTTCAGAGGCGGATTAAGAGGGGGGCTTAGGGGGCCTGGGCCCCCTTTTTCTGGTAAAAATTGGTTGATTATATAAGGAAATACTGAGGGGGGCTTAGGGGGCCTGGGCCCCCTTTTTTTGGTAAAAAATTGGTTGATTTTATAGGGAATCACTGAATCATGAATGAAGTGGGCCCCCTTTTATGTCGTCAGTGGGCCCCACTTATGAAAATTTCTAGATCTGCCACTGTTCTTGTTTGAATTGTTTTACATTGTCATTTCAAGGCCTTTCTTAGCTGATAATGTGGTATGGGCTTTGCTCATTGTTAAAGGCCTTATTGTGACCTATTATTTCTGTGTCATTTGGTCTCTTGAGGAGAGTTGTCTCATTGGCAATTATAATATATCTTTTTTTTTTATATTGTTTTTAATCTGCAATTTACACCTGGCACTTTTGTAAAGAGGACCCCAAAATAATATGTGTATATTGACGGTAAGGGTCAAAAGTTAATAATTGATGCTGATTGGCCTCCTACCCACTACTTAGATGACATGATATAGTTTAAGAATTTCTGGACAGTTTGTAAAACTCGATAATAACCATGAATAACGAGCAAAAAAACATGCCTAAGTTACAACAAACCATTAGTATTTTCCTGTAAATTAGACTCTATATTTAGATATTTTATCATGGATTCTTCAGCATATGAATCCAATGCTGCCCCAACTTCTTCTTCTCTCGTCTTTAACCCAGATACGCTCAAATAGTGAAGATTCACCGAAGCCAACAGATTACTAAGTTGGGTCTCACCAAGGCCTACGTGAAGCATTCCTGTTGAAAATGAAATTATTGCATTGATTTGTATTATACATGTTAAAAATGAATTAAAGTACAAACTTCCTTAGTACCAGCAATAAATATTTGATTTAAAGATCACTGATAATGCTTCTTCTGATGACAAAAAAGTAGTATAACTTGTGTATATACATGAAGTGTATTGCAAACAAATGTATAAAAAAGTATAAGGTGTGTGTATAGACTTAGTGTAAAGTACATGTAAGTTAATACATGTATATAATAAATTATAATTTGTGTATGTTAAGTACATGTATATAGTGTATTTAGTAGGTTTATATTTAAAAAATAGTTTAACTTGTGAGTAAAGTGTACAAGTAATTTAACATGTTTAATATTAATTTATTTTCAATACAAATCTTATTAATAGATATATATATATAAACTCCTATGCTGATCTTACTAAAATTTGTAATTTCAAACCCATATATGTTTCTTTCAATATGTCTGTGTTTTAAAATTTTAAATATAGGAAAAAGAAAAAGTATAATGAAATTAACACAAATCTGGAAGACCTCTGACATCAGTACATGAAATAGCTGTAATTATGCATGGTTATTGTTTATTATATTATTTATACTTTACCAAATTTATCAAACAATTTTTGCCACACATGGAGCCATTCCAATTTTATAAAGTGTTTATAGGAGCTGCTTAATAACAAAGAATTACAAACAGTTGACATAAATAAACAAGCTGATTGTAATTAACAATTTAGTAAGCAGTCCTTAACTAAGTAGACAGCACTTCTGTATCTACAAAATATTTTACATTATTTAATCTTTGACACTAGTTTAAATATATCATGTACTGATCTCAAAAAATGCTTACCAATGAAAATAAAACAATCAACAGTCTTCTCTGAAATGTCCATGCAAAACATATTGTACATCATTCTCTTCAGGTTTCCATCAGTTCAATTTAAAATTACAGATTAAACAAATGGTAAACTATTCTCTTCAGATTCCACCATTTGACACGGAAACCAGCATGGCAAGGAAAGAAAATCAACTGATTTACTAATTTCTTTCACAATGCACAGTCCCAGCTGTTATGGGAATTGAGCACTCACGAACTCATTAAACCATCAGCATTCTTAATGTGCTTGTCCCAAGTCAGGAGACTGTACAATCAAGTTCAGTGGTTGTTGTTGGTTCATGTCTGTCATATAGGTTTTTCATCAATTTCTTGGTTTTAAATTAGTCTGTCTATAGTCTTCATAATTGAATTGTCTTATATTTTTCATGTCAGGTATTAAATAGCTGACTATGCCATGACATCAATTTTTCTCCTTGTTGAAGGTATTATGGTTGCCTTTAATTGCTTACATCCACTTTATTTATGTTGTTTTTATTGTACATGCATGACATGTACATGTGGATGCATCATTTTAATTAGTTCACCAAAATCAATTTCTGATATCCCTTTCCTTTTTGGCTGTCAATGTCATACATGTATATAACAGTACTGCATTTTAAGGCCTTTAAAACAGATTTATGTCAAACACAATTTACAATGGGGTAACTGTTTAAGCCAAATTTCTCCATGACCCACCAAGAAAAGGGTTACATGTATATGCATGTTAATATTTTTCTATCTTCAAATCATGACTGAATTAAACCTGAAGAAAAAAAATCATTTATTGATCACATATATAACAAAAATGAAAAAGTAACACAAAAATACAGTTATAATTTTTCAGAGTGCCATTCATGTACCTGTTGCAATTTTGGTGTTTACATCAAAAACTCCTGGACCCCTTTTGCTCGGTGTTGTAAAATGACGCTTTGACAGTGGGATTTTCTTAACTCGAATACATTGCTTACATTCTATGTAAAGCCATCCTCCTAACCCTCTTGGTAAAACACCTAATGAATCCTTCAGATGAAGGGGTTTCATACAATTTGAACATGACTCAAGGCCTTGAATAATCAGATCAATTTCAATAATAAATCTACAAAAATTTAAAGGAACTAGGTTGTCTGGTAGTATATCAGTTCTATCATATATAAGTTCATCTTCTTCATCACTTCTTCCTCCGGCGATATTTGATACAGGTTTTATAACATTTAAATTGTCACTAACAGTAACACAATAATCGTGTTCCTCTCTTATTCCAGATGCCAAATTTGAATTACTCTGACTTTTCTGATGTCTGATTTTCATAAACGACGCAGATTTGCTTATTAATTTGTTTGTCGAAAATTTACTCTTTTTAAATTTTAAAAATACCATTTCAAATCGTTGCAGTGTTGATATTTACATTTTCCGGTTGATCGACGCTGAAGAATTTCGAGTTTCCGGTAGAAAGTCGTAAATATAAAATGCGTTGGAAAAGGATCTTTATAAAATAATGATTAAGTTTTTGATCATTTATTAATAAATAAATTACCTCTCTAATAGTGAAAAAACATATTTTCATAAATCAATTCCCAAATAATATTTCAACATCTGACAGTCTTCGGATCGTAGTTGCGCAAGTTTTATGCGCGGTGGTATTCAAATGACTTACCTTAAATCATCACTATTTGTACCTCTGTTCTTATTTAAATGACAACGCCATTTTTGAAAAGTAACATAATATCAATAAATGCCCGTGGATGTATTTTAGTAATGATTAAAATTGTATCAAAATTTGTTAAAATTATATTTCATTTTTAGGTCCAACGCCATGTAAACATGGAGCATTCTATGCAGATACATGTGACAAGAATGTCTTCTATCAATGTGTATATGGGAGACCTGTGAAACAACGTTGTAATCGGGGTCTTGTGTGGAATCAAGCAGGATATTGTGACTTGGCATAAAAGTTATTCAAGAATTTGACTTTGGAATATAAGATTATGAACATATGATTAAGTATAAGTTGTAACCAAAGCATGAGTTACTGTAATTCAAGATGTATTCAATTTGTTTCTTTTTTTCATGTCAAAAATAAATTCTTGCATTTGCAAAAAACGGCCGTTAGTTTTGTCAATTGAATTGTTTCATATTTTTCATGTCGGGGCCGTTTATAGCTGACTATACGGTATGCGTTTTTTTCATTGTTGAAGTCCGTACGGTTGCCTATAACTGCTTACATGCACTATATTTGAACTTTTGTGGATAGTTGTCTCATTGGCAATCATACCACATCTCCTTATTTTAATATCATTTGAATTTCACTTTTAGGCCGTTATGGACCTTATGTTTCATAGAAATAACCAAAGCAACACGGTCACAACTTTCTTCTTAATAAGAACGAAAAAAGGAAAACAGTGGTTAACTTGTTTGCCTCTGGCTTTGGGAATGAAAAAATAAGAAGCAGTCGACATCGAAAACAGTAAGCCAAGTAAAGAGTCTAAAGGTGGAACACGAAAAACAAATCAATAATTTACAAAGAAAATTAAAGATGGACGGACAAAAAAAATCAGGGATGAGTTTAGGCACTCCAGAAGGGTAGCAGTCTCTTCTCCTCTGCGCTGATGTTAATCGTGCAACTTGTGATAAAATGTATTATTTCCTCTATCTATAGCAGGGGGAATATGTAATATTTCCTCTACCTGTAGCAGAGGAAATATGTATTATTTCCTCTATCTATAGCACTGTATTATCTAATCTATCTATAGATGCTGATTTCAAGTTTCAAGATCATATCGTGAACATGAAAGCATACTATTTTGGTTGAATCAGTGTATCTGCAGATTGACTGTTGCTATCATTATATTACATTTTTAAT